CCATCCTTGAATCCCCCAAATCTCTCTCGCAGTTTCCCACTGTGAGAACAAGATGTTTAGGGAAGCTTTTAATATCTGAAGCACTATTGTATTTTAATATTTTGTTGGAAGCCACCCAGAGTGGCTGGGGAAACCCAGCCAGATGGGTGAGGTATAAATAAATTATTATTATTATTATTATTATTATTATTATTATTATTATTGATGCTGCAGTAGTTGGACCATTGGCCTCATCCAGCAGCTTTGTGTTGTGGTCAAATCTTAAATTTCTCTTAATTTCTCCAGCAGGAATAGACATTCGCCGACATTTTCTCAGGGGTGGGGCTCACCATCAACAATGGCAGTAATAATAATAATAAAAATAATAATAATTTATTATTTGTACCCCGCCCATCTGGCTGGGTTTCCCCAGCCACTCTGGGCGGCTTCCATAGAAACCAAAAATACACTAAAATATCACACATTAAAAACTTCCCTGAACAGCGCTGCCTTAAGATGTCTTCTGAATGTCAGGTAGTATATCGCTTTGACATCTGATGGGAGGGCGTTCCACAGGGCGGGAGCCACCACCGAGAAGGCCCTCTGCCTGGTTCCCTGTAGCTTTGCTTCTCGCAATGAGGGAACCTCCAGAAGGCCCTCGGCCCTCGATGGGGGTGGAGACGCTCCTTCAGGTATACTGGGCCGAGGCCGTTTAGGGCTTTAAAGGTCAACACCAACACTTTGAATTGTGCTCGGAAACGTACTGGGAGCCAATGTAGGTCTTTCAAGACCGGTGTTATGTGGTCTCGGCGGCTGCCCCCAGTCACCAGTTTAGCTGCCGCATTCTGGATTAGTTGTAGTTTCCGAGTCACCTTCAAAGGTAGCCCCACGTAGAGTGCATTGCAGTAGTCCAAGCGGGAGATAACTAGAGCATGCACCACTCTGGCGAGACAGTCCGCGGGCAGGTAGGGTCTCAGCCTGCGTACCAGGTGGAGTTGGTAGACAGCTGCCCTGGATACAGAATTGACCTGCGCCTCCATGGACAGCTGTGAGTCCAAAATGACTCCCAGGCTGCGCACCTGGTCCTTAAGGGGCACAGTTACCCCATTCAGGACCAGGGAATCCCCCACCCCCTGTCCCCCCAAAACAGTACTTCTGTCTTGTCGGGATTCAACTTCAATCCATTAGCCGCCATCCATCCTCCAACTGCCTCCACACACTCACACAGGACATTCACCACCTTCACTGGTTCTGATTCGAAAGAGAGGTAGAGCTGGGTATCATCTGCATATTGATGGACACCCAGTCCAAACCCCCTGATGATCTCTCCCAGCGGCTGCATGTAGATGTTGAAAAGCATGGGGGAGAGGACAGAACCCTGAGGCACCCCACAAGTGAGAGCCCAGGGGTCTGAACACTCATCCCCCCCCCACCACTTTCTGAACACGGCCCAGGAGGAAGGAGTGAAACCACTGTATAACAGTGCCCCCAGCTCCCAGCCCCTCTAGACGGTCCAGAAGGATGTTATGGTCGATTGTATCAAAGGCCGCTGAGAGATCCAGCAGAACTAGGAAACAACTAACTAGGAAACAGTAATAACTATCCTTCCTTCTTTCCTCAGGAGATGTTGTTGCTCCTGCTGCAAGTGGGAGCCGGGAGCCACATGCAGAATGTTATTCTTTTTTATTCTTATTATTTGCTTACATTTATATCTTACCTCTCTTCTGTCACCAAAAGGCAGAACTCGTGAAGATACAGCTCTGTTCTCCCATTTCTCCTGACCGCTCATGGAAATTATTATCAGGGCTTCCGGTGTGGTGGAGCCCATGCCAGTTTCTGTTTCAGAGAACCAGGCACCAGTATTGTGTTTGAGTTTGAAAGCAGATGTGTTGTAACAAAATGATAGCAATGTACATTAAGAATAAGAATAATGACAATGACGGGTATTTTGTGTTTTCCTTTTGTAATTTTATGCTGTAAATCATATAATCAAATAATAATAATAATACATGTGGATGCCTAGGCAGATGTCCTTTTCGATGTGTCAATGGGGGGGGGGGGCAGAGTCTACTGCATGTCTAAAATGTGTCACCAACATGTAAAGTTTGGAAAGCTCTGCTTTAGGTGATAGTCAGTGTTGTGCGTTGGGATCTAGGGTGTTGCTGGGGGGGGGCTGCTTGGTGGAGGTTGCTGCTTTTTAAAGATTTTGTTGTGATTTATGTGGAAATTGTTCAGTTTGGTTTTGTATTTTTCAATATTTTATTTATTATGACTACTTTTGTTATGTTGTGGTTATGTATTTTTTCATGTTGTAAGCCAGCTTGAGCACAGTTTGAACTGTGGGAAGGTGGTATACAAATAAAATTAAGTATGTCTGAATGTAAACTTTGAGTAGACTTCCTTTTCCTCTCCACCTGCGTGCTCTCCCCCATTCTGCTCCCCTGTCCTCGCCCCCCTGCAGCAGAGTTTTGGGGATGAGTGGTGCTGGAGCTGCAGGGGGGGAGGAAAAGAAATCCTGTTGCACCAGCAGAAGGCCATTCCCTTGCCTTCCCAACCAGAGTTGCAAACCAGGAACAGATCATGTGCAGAATTAATCAACTAGCAGATCTGAATGGGTGGGGAAGGAGGAGAAAGTGCAGGAACCCACATCATATTCTGAACTGACCCAAGGTGTCTACTAGCTGTTACATGCCTCTCCCTATGAGGGAATGGTTATCAACTTGATTTCATTCTCCAGCAGAGCACTGAACAGTGATGATCACACAAAATTGAACCTGCGTTTTCTCTTGGCTCATTTCATTTTTGTGGGGAATGGAACACAAATTTCTGTCTCCATGAGGAGAATCCCAATCGCCCTGGTGAGTGTTGGGAATGCAAAGTCAAATACAAATTCTCTTCCCTGTTAAGAAAGAAATGTGATTTGAAGTGAGGTTGCAGGGAGCCAGACAGAGGACCTTCTCGGTAGTGGTGCCCACACTATGGAACACCCTCCTTTCAGATGTGAAGGAAATAAGCAGCTATCTTATATTTAAAAGACATCTGAAGACAGCCCTGTTTAGGGAAGTTTTTAATATTTAATGCTGTATTGTTTTTAACACTCAATTGGAAGCCGCCCAGCGTGGCTGGGGAAACTCAGCCAGATGGGCGGGATATAAATAATACATTATTATTATTATTATTATTATGCAAAGGAAAGGTTGCTTTTTTAAAAGTATATTTGTAGAATATGAAGAGATCCATAATGCAGAAAGTACAATAAGTGATTGCTCCTATTTACATTGCCCAAGTAAGCGTCTGGAAATGCATAAATCTATGCTTCTTTATCATTTGTATTATGTGTAGTAAGTCATGTGTTAATTTTCAGATTTCTTTAAAAAATGAATATTTGTCCCTCACTTATGAGCCTAGGACAGCTATAGGTTGTTTGTATGTTTGTTTGTTTTTGAGGAGGTGGTACCAGAGAAGTGCCTGAGATGAAAAGGGAATGAAAGAGATGCTTAGGACTGATTTTCTGGATTTGGTTGTTGCATTTTTTAAAATAAGAGGATGAGGTTTATTCCTTCTACGGGTTAGAAGGAAAGAAGAAAGGTAGCTCTTCAATGGGTATAGGAGAAAGCATTGCAAGGGAATAGTCTGGTATGAGGTGTGCAAAATAGAGCCCCTTTTGTACTGTCCCCTGGTGGTGGGGGGGGGACACTGCAACTTGACTCTCTCTTGCCTTGCTGGGGTAATGGGAGAAGCACCAGACTAAGTGAGACGAGCCAGAATTTGGCCTTCCTTATGGCAGTATGGCCTCATTTTATGGAATGAGCTCAGCTAAACATGAGAGGAGTGACAAAGAAAACGATAAGTACATGGAATCCATTTCTGCATTCCCTGCTGCCCCTTTTCTCTTGGACTCAGTTATTTGGCAGAAATGACTCTGCTGAAGCTATTATACCTAAGAGGTGATATTGATTCCCAGAAACAAATGACTAGGTATTTTGCAATTGAAACAGCATACTAGGTACGCCATTCCACTTCTGTTCTTAATGAAGGTGCCACGGGAATCATAGAATCATAGAGTTGGAGGGGACCCTCAGGGTCATCCAGTCCAGTCCCCTCCAATGCAGGAATTACTTGGAGGAGCCCACAAATTTTGTTTTGGCTCCATTATTTGTGATGGACCCTTTCCTGCTCCTGAGCCTCTGGCACATGGAAGGACTAGTGGAGTTCTCACATGTCCTGTTGAACTTTAGAGCAGCAGCCAGCAGTGTGAGAGACCAGGGACTAATCTACACTGGCGAGTTATAATGTTATAAATGCGTTATAAAAATGTGACACCAGGGGGCGCTGTATAGCAGGCAACGGGATATTCCATTGAGAGCTATAGAACGGGTTTTTTTCTTAGCATCTTTTAATATCAGTGTAGATCCAGCCTAGCCCAGGCAGTCTCCATTCCAAAGGGCAGCTTCCTCCTACTCATGACCAGCAGCTACTTCTGCTTGCCAGATGCAACAGAGAATCGTGTCACTTCGGGTAAGCTCTGCGGTGTGTGCGTGTCAAGGACACTGAGGTGTGGTGGCTAGATATGGAAGTGTGGGCACTGGGAGAAGGAAAGAACGGATCCATGATCTGAGGGAGCCTGGACAGCCAGGAGACCAGAGTCAGAAGCAGGAGAAGATGCAGGAGTGGAGGCTGAAGAGCAGGAGGAGAGAGAGAGAGAGAGATCCGGCTGGTGGAGAGTCAAGGGCTTCCACACCTCCTCCTTCTTCTGCCCCCTCCTCTCCTGCTCCCCTGTCTCCCTGGACCAGAAGAAGTTTGAAGCAGATGGAGCACATTCCCCCTCCCCATCACAAGACGCAGTATCCCTGCTCACTGTCCCCTTGCCAAGCCACACACACACCCCGCCGCAAACCCAGGCCTTGGGGAAGGTTGTAGCAGAGGGGCTCCATTCTCTTCCCCCAGGCTGCTACTTGGTTCCCCAGGTTTCAGGAGGCTGTTTGCTTCTTTGTTCTCCATCTGGAAAGATCCTCCCTCACTCCTGGATAGCTCAGTCAGTCCAGCATGAGACTCTTGATCTCGGGCTTGTGGGTTTGAGCCCCATGTTGGGCAGCAGATTCCTGCATTGCAGGGGGGTTGGACTAAATGACTCTCGTGGTCCCTCCCAACTCTACAATTCTATGATTCTGTGATTCCTGCTGGTATTGTCTGTCCCACATTGGGGGTTTCTTAGAGTTTTGGGCCAGAGGCGGAGATTAGGGATTCCTAGCAGTGGAAAGGAGAATTCCTGGAATGTAAGATCCAAGTTTGGGGTAAGTACTCTTTGGTGAGAGAACTACAGCAGAGATTTAACAAAATATGCAGCAAAGCATGGAAATAGAGGCTGTAAAAACTTAAAAGGTGCTCTTTAAAGTGAGATCCAAACTGCCCCCATAAAATATTCCTTTCCGAAGCTTCCCTCTTCCCCCAGCATAGGAAAAAGACTACATGTTTGGCAAGTTAAAGAAGAGTTTACTTACAAGCTCTCCGAAGGTCAGATTCATGTGCTTTAGAAAAGTAAAACTTAGCTTAGTGCAAGTTCCTAAATTTTTGGTATAGGAACTCAAGAGTGGATTGTGAGAGCCAAGCAGCCTTTGCTGGAGCAACCAGCTCAAATCTTTTCACGCACTGAGCTTCTCAGGTAGACTGAAGGTGAACAGAGAATTAATTACCCATTTCCTCCCAAGATAAGGGGAAGTGACCTAGGCTAAGCCTGGCAGGACAGCTTACTCTATGGTATTAACTCCTTCGTGCATTAATTAGACAAGCATGTTGCTTATATGAGGCTGGTTATCCCATAGGAATGTAGCCTCCCTAGCTGATGCAACCCATGAATAAATGAGAGACAGAGTTGACAGTTGCTGTTTTATAGCTGTGTGGACAGGATTGCCAGATGAGCCTGGGCTCCAGTTCTGAGGACTGGGTTCTCCCCATTGTCTTTCATTGTGTGATTTGAGTTATGCCTCTCCTTTTTCCAGCTTATGTCAGGTTGCCAAAGGATGTGACCAAGCTGAACAGGCTTAGGATCCAGTGCTAGTTTCTCCTGCATGATCCTGTCCCTTACGCTCCACCTTTGGGACTTGTAGTGGCATACGTTCTGAGCCCCAGCTGAGCCAGGATGGGTGAGTTAGGCCAGCCTATCTCTGGCTGATCCAGGCTTAGAGTCTTATGCCAGCAATCCACCGCATCATAAGATACTCAGCCCAGGCATATCAGAGAGAGAGCTTCTTGCCCGTCCTACTCCTGGCTGTGCTCATTTTCTGCACCTACAGCCTTAAATTGCACACTGCGCTCCACCACTGCGTTTCCATTCCAGACTGCTGCTGCTATAGAGAACAGGCCTCAATCAAGTCTTCAAAAGCAATTCAATTTAGATGTAAAAATAGTGATGGATTTTGTAATTATACACCTATTAATTTCTCAAGTACTTGATTGGATCCAGCTCAATAAAATCCTCTCAGGAATCCCTCTTATAGACTTTAGATGGAGAATCACTCTTCCAGGAGGGACTGTAAGAACTGGACCCACTGCGTTTCAGTCAGCCAAGCACAAAGCAACAACTTAAGGAGAGATTTATTTGAAGTTTTTCAGCTTTAGTCAGCAATATGTAAAATCCTCTCTGGCCTCCTCATCCATCATTCAATCCACTCCCCCTCCTGAAATCATCAATTTTTTCACCTCTCTCCATCCATCTTCTGCCATTTCCAAGAAAATATATTGTGATGCAACCTCTACCCTTTCTCCCTGCGGGGAACACATTAAGGCCATTTTAACGTCTGTTCTGAAACTCTATAATAAGAATAATACTAACAATCCCACCCCCACCCCCCAATTCTGCAAATCAGAAATGAGTGCTGAATCTCTACAGGTCAACTAAATGTAATTCCAAAATCTTGAAACTGTAATATTATAAAATTTCATAAGGTTAAAAAGAGTTCCAGGCATCACCAGTACTGTTAGGAAGCCTTGTAAACTAAACCGTTTTGCTATTGGGAAATCTAAAGCAGTTTCTCCCAAGCTAGTGCTTGCCAGGTGTTTTGGACTATGATTCCAATCATCTCTGACCATTGTCCATTCTAGCTGGGACTGATGGGAACTGTAACCCAACAACACCCAGAGAAGACCAGGTTGGGGAAGAGTGATCTTTTACTTGTTTGTTGTTTAATTTGTATACCACCCTATACCTACTGGTCTCAGGATTCTGATCTAAGTATTCTGAGAATAGCAATGATCTGAAGATTATGAATGAAGATTTATAGCAAACATTCTCTGTTTCCAGGTGTGTTGAAATGTTCAGGTAGAGGGCCTTTTTGGTAGTGGTGCCTGCCCTGTAGATGTCAAACAGATAAACAGCTATGGGATCTTTAAAAGACATCTGAAGACAGTCCTGTTCAGCAAAATTTTAAAGTGAGATGTTGTATTGTGTTTTTACTCTTTTTTGTTGGGAGCCGCCCAGAGTGGCTGGGGCAACCCAGTCTGAGGGGCAGCATATAAATAATAAATTATTATTACTCATGAACTTTCCATTCTATCTTATAGCCTTGTCCAGAGGCTTTAGCACAATTCTCCTAAGGCCCACCACCTTCTGTTTGTTGGAGGGGAAGCGGAAGCATGGAGTCTAAACCCTGTGAGAAGCCCACTGCAGGGATCAAACTTTGCACCTAGATGTTCCCCTTCCAATAGGATTCGAACCAATGGCATCAAGTGACAAGAAAGGAGAATCGGACTAAGGAAGAACTTTCTGAGAGTCAGAGCTGTTCGACAGTAGAACAGACTCCCTTGGGAGGTGGTGCCCTCTCTGTCCTTGAAGGTTTTAAAACAGAGGTTGGATGTCCATTTGTCATGGATGCTTCAGCTGAGATTCCTGCATTGCAGGGGTTTGGACTAGATGACCCTTGGGGTCCCTTCCAACTCTACAGTTCTATGATTCTATTATACTGCTGTATGATTCAATACATGAAGGGCTAGTAGGAGCAGCAACTAAGGATGTGACAGAGGAGATCCAACTAGCAAACATACTTCCACTCTCTTCCTTCAATTGTAATCCTGTTGGTGCGGGGGACAGACCCTTGAAGAGGACTACAGTGCCGCCGCCCCTTCTAGGGGGTCAGTGGACTTGATTTTCACTGCTCTACAGCTTCAAGAAAAATGCAGAGAGCAAAACCAACCCCTGTATATGGCGTTTATTGACCTGACTAAGACCTTCAACACTGTAAATCGTAATGCCCTGTGGACTGTCCTTCTAAAAATCGGCTGCCCGGATAAATTTGTGAACATCCTTCGGCTCCTACATGATAGTATGGCAACAATTGCAGATAAAATGGCTCTCAAAATGAAACATTCACAATGGGATCAGGTGTTAAACAGGGAGGTGTTATCGCCCCAACTTCATCACCATGATCCTACACTTTGTTGAAGGGAAACTCCCCACTGGAGTAGAAATAATATTTATCAAACAGAAGGAAAGTTTTTCCATTTGAGTAGGCTTAAAGCAAAGAGTAAGGTTACCATAACCTCCATCATAGAGCTTCAATATGCTGATGGCAACGTAGTGTGTCCACACTCAGAGGATGACCTCCAAACCATCCTAAATATCTTCACAGAAGCTTACAGAAAGCTTGGCCTATCACTCAATATCCAAAAAACCTAAGTGCTGCACCAACAAGCACAAAACAACCCCTCCACAGAGCCACAGAGCCAGCTTAATGGTGTAACATTGGAAAATGTCAATCATTTTTTCTACCTAAGCTTTCCACAAGGGCCAACACTGATGCCAAAATCCAGCTTTGCCTGAGCTCTGCGAGTGCAGCTTTCTCCCAATTGAAGCACAGAGTTTTTTATGACTGGGACATTTGCAGGGAAACCAAAATGCTTGTTTACAAAGCTATTGTACTACGAACTTTAATGTATGCTTGTGAAACATGGACCACTTATAAACGCCATTCCCAACTCTTCAAAAGATTCCATCAGTGGTATCACTTGGGAAGACAGGTGAACTAATGTCAGTGTACTGGAAAAAGCAAAGATCACCAGTGTCAAAGCGATGATTCTTCAACATCAACTTTATTGGGCTGGTCATGTTGTTTGGATGCAACTACTCAATTCCCAATTTAAGATTGGAAAGTGTAATGCCAACAAAAGAGGCTTAAAGACGCTCTCAACGCAAATCTAAACAAATGTAGTATATGTCATGTGACACATGAGAGCAGAAGCAGCCAAGCAGGCTGGGAAGTGCTGGGACTGCACAATCATTTGGGCCTAGTCAAGTTATCCAGGCCTAACTGCTAACTGTGGAGTCACTCTGACATGTGACTGAGCAGCCATTTTCTCTCTCTGCTCTCTGTAAGATTTCAGTCAGAGTCAGTCTGCCTCAGTTGTGAGCAGAGTCAGTATGTAATCTCAATCAAACTGTTTGGAACCATGTTGTTTATGAAGAAGTTTATTTTAACTCAGTAAAGTTCTTATTCTTTCACTTAAAAACTCTGCATTATTAATTTGCGCTGCGCGTCAGTATAAATATCGACAACTGGGAAAGACTGGCCTGCGAGTGCTCCAATTGGAGAACAGCCTTGACCAAAGGTGTCATGGACTTTGAAGACACTAGAACTCAGGACGAAAGGGAGGAATGTGCTAAGAGGAAGGCATGCTTGGTAAACCCTTACTCACTGTTCAAACTGTGTTCATGGAAGACAATCTTACTTGGCTACGAGGGATCACCAAAGAAGAAAGAACAGACCCTTGAAGAGGACGACAGTGTCTGTGGGGTCCCTTGATTCAAGTGTTGTCTTCAACATGTGATGAGAGAAGTAGTTGTATGGAAGCTAATTATGAACATTGAGCTTCATAGCTGAGAAGGGATTTCATTCTGTGTCTCTACACCACAGAAGCCGCTATACCACACCTCCTGCAGAATGACCCAGGGTTGACAGAAAAAAAGTGTAACAATTGGAAGCTCACACACACACACACACACACACACACACACCTTTTTGAATTTGGGCAGAGCTGTGCAGGAGATGAATTTGCCCTTCTTTCCTCTGACATCCTGCCCATTTTATGGATTGTCAAGCCTGGCTGCTGATCATTTAGCTTTCTAGAGAAAGTCATTGTATTGTATTTTATGGAGCATTGATATTATTTCATTTTCACCTCCTCACAATTACCCATTCAAAGTAATGTTTAACTTCCTGTGAATGCTATCCTGAACTGACAGAACTCAACAGGGCCAGCTCAGTATTATGCTAATGGAGTCTTGGGTTCTTTTTATCAACTACACTTCCATTCAGGTTTATGACAAGCTTCACAGAATGGCCTTTGTGGTGGTGCTAATGCTGACTTTCAATTTTATGGGAAAATAAAGCTGCATATATATATGGTTTAACTAAATGTGTTATGGGCTGTTGCTTGCAAATGTTAGAAATGCATATGAATGATAATATTGTCCTAGAAAATAGGTACCTTTAGGCTCATAATAATGAAACTGAAAGAGACTGATTTCCAAATAAGGCAGGATTACTTTAAGCTGACAATGAAACCGAAAAGTGCTTTGAACACAAGAAAATAGTAAATTCAGGAACTGTTTCTGGGAATCCCTGATACATGTCGTTGCATGTTTCAAATGGATGCAACTGATCAAAGAAAACACTACAGCTCAGACTGGAAAAATAGCTCCTGAATGCTTAGAATGGGCAATGCTACTTTGTGTCAACCTGGCAAATAATATATTTGGTTAATTTTTCCTCTAACCTTTTGATTTTGTGTTGTTGGCATTGTGCTCTGAAGGGGAACTTGACCTTTGCAAGGTTTTATTCCCTTGCAGCATCTGACTCATGTCAGAGTGCTACATCTCTTCCCCTTGGAATGTCAAAAGTCATATGTCATTGTCGGTGTATGTCATCATTCTAGACCATCTGAAGGAAGGGGGCTGGTTAGAGACATTGCATTTATCCATGGCTTTCCATTCCAGAAGTGAAAAACCACACATTCATTGTTAAGGATAAGTGTTGTGTACAGGCAAGAGGCATTATTATCCCTGAATTATAGCATTATTGGATTAATTAGATCTATGACTTGATTATGGAAGATGTTGCACAGGCCCTCTCTCTATTAATAAGGTGAATATGGAATGTGTGGACATGCTGAATGTAGACAAAGACAGAGGGAAAGGGCAGGAATGAATCTTCTCTACAGCCCCCTAGAGACGCCATTAGAGACAGATGTAGGACAGCTCCCCAAAAGAGAACAAACATGTAAAAATACCATCCTATTGTTGCACATTAACAATAGAGGGCAGGCTAATAATAACATTAATAATAATTCCTACTATTACATCATGAAATACACAAACATCAGTTTACAATATCAGACATTATGAAACAATTGCAAAACATTTAAAAAAACCTAACCACACAGGTAACATTTCCTGTTAGAAAAATGCTCCATCAAAAACGCATAAAAGGAAGGGGATTTATGCCTAGAAGGCTGTAATTGAAACATGACCTAGGCTGATGAAGAATATCAGCAAAGCCCAAACTGCATTTTAGGAAAGATTACCTAAGAAATGCACCCCTATGAAGTGGAGACATAGACCCATATCAGACATAGCAGTCCATCAGGCTTGAGTGTTACATGAACAAGCCTGAATTATCTCCCTTCATCTAATGAATCAGGAGAGTGTGATTGCTAGAGTTTGCCATTATGAACCAAGTGGTACAGTCCATTCTCCCTGCTGTACCCCATCTCCTTCTGCTACTTACACAGAACACATTTAAAGTCAGAGGTTGTTTAGCACAATGTATCATTCTCCATATATTCCTCTGGCAAATGAAGTTTCTTCTTTTCTTTTAAATAGTCAGAATAATGGTCAAGGCATTATGCAAATGGAATAAGATCTGGAAGAAAACTGAAGCATTCCTCCATGTCATTTCTTATATCATGCCAAGAACAGGTGGTCTGTCCTGTGGGCTCTATTTGCCAGCAAGCTGTATCTTTGAATGCTGTTCCTTTGAGTATTGCACTGGCAATAGAACCATGATAGGTGCACAGTCACATACAACAACAGAAACTTCAGGGCGCCAAACTCTGCAAGAGACCATATGCCAGCTGAGCTCCTTTATAAATTTGAGCAAGATAAGAGATAGTCATATGAAAACCCTTCATATGTGGATGGGGTTGTGTCCTGCGTCCATGCCCCCCTTCTCACCATGCACACTGCTCCAGCCCCTGCTGGCTGTGCGTTCAGCCAGTGTGTGAAGAGGAAGCAGAGATTCTGGACCAATCAGGTTCCCCATTCATGTAGGCGGGTGGGGCCTCTTCACACAGTGGCCAAATGCATGAGTGGTAGGTGGTATGGACAATGTGCAAGTTGTATATGCAAGCATTGGTAGGTGGGTGGGGAAAACATGGTTGACGAATGCAACTCCATTCTCCTCCTCAACATCTGAGGAGTGTTTGCATGAGCACCTGTCTAGTCATAGGAGATTCCAATGCCATTGACTAAATGCAGATCCTCGTGACACTTGCATTTCAAGTCAGCAGAGGTTTTGTACATGAGATCTTGCCTAATATATCCGTCAGCAATGGACAAAGAACAGGGCTATACTTAAAGAAACATATGAACAGGAATAGAAATGGCATAAAAAAATCCAGAAATACAAACCCCTCTGAGCAAACATTTCAACCTCACTGAACAGTCCACAAGAAACCTCCAAATGACATTTTTAAAAAGAACCAATTCCAGCGAATGCGCCAGAGTGAGGTGGCAGAGCAGGAACACATCCAGAAATCTGACTATGTGATCTGACACCTGAAGAAAGACAATGGATTCTTCTCCCTGGTTGTCATGCTTAAAGTTGTGGAGGAAGCTGTTGCATGGGCACAGATGAGATGTGAATCCATGCTTACTGCACGGAAAGACATTTGTTTTTAATGCTCACACCACTTCCATGTTGCTTTATAATGACCGATAGCTTGTCACTACCCTTCGTAAATCAGCATGCCCTGTCATTCCCATCTTATTTGTAGTAAGGCAGATGCCCCTTTACAAATGTGGGTTCCTAGGAGCACACATATCGTTTTTACTTCCTTTCTGCAGGCAGTTCCACTCCTTTCATCTGGAGAAGTGGCCCTGCAAGCTACGAAAGTTTGTGCTGCGTTAACATTTCTTTGAAAATGTATCCTTGACACATACGTTCAATAATGTTTATCAAATGACATACCGCTCGCTTAGAGGGATCCTCTTTGCCGCTGTCATCATAGGAGTCACATTCCAGGTTGTACAGTTCCCTTTGAGAGGCCCAATTCCCTGGTGATTCCAGCAGATCCACAAATTGTGCTCCTTCCATGACAGGAGGGGCAGAGAGAGCCTTGATAACAATGAACAGTGACAATAAACACTGTCAGCTCGCTTGAATCCTTTCCAGTTTTGCTCCAGTTGTAACCATCCAGAAACAAAGCCGTGTTCTTCAATCAATGTTTACATTCACTGCTTGTCAGTGCCAGCTGACGGAGAAGAATCTCTCACCAATTTGGATTGCCAATTTGTTATTAGCAATTAGCATTGAAGATGGAAAAAACATTAGCCACATTTGTTCCACATTCTCAGGGCCTCAAAGTCTCTCTCTCTCTCTCTCTCTCTCTCTCTGTTAAAGGACTAATCAACACTTTGATGAAAATGAGAAAGCGGAGCATTCTCTCCAACACTGGCATTCAGAGGACCAAGTTGCTCTTTTGACTCTGCCTCCTCCTGCACTTCCTGCACCACCTTTATGTCTGCCTTTCTTCTTCCATTTATCCATCCATTTTGCCCCCTTCTGATATAGGAATTAGAGACCCAAGGGGTTCTTTTTTTATTTTAAGAATGCTTCAGTGTTTCACTTTTAATTGCATTTAACATTTTAGATAGAATGCACGAAAGGAAAGGTTTGATTTCTGTGTGAGGTTCCTGTGGGCCTGCATTTTACAATCTTATGCTCTCTAGGCCATAAACAAGAAACCCTATCTAACTCTGAAAGTGGCACAAATGGCCCTCCAGGATGTTATTCTAAGTTTCTCATGAGTTGGCACCAAAGTGTCGAAACAGCTATCCTGAAGCTTCCTGGAAGGAGAAGCCAGAGAATGAGATGAAGGAAGGAATGTCAACAGCCTGATGAAGGCCTTGTTGCCAGGGGAACAGTGCTAGAAATGTGACAATTGAGACCAAATGGCCTGGGCACTGGTGGCACCCCAAGGCAATTGTGGGGTGCAGATACTGGTATGGAGCCATATGTGTTGTGCTTCTCATGACCTGTAACCTTTCTTGATGTATGTAGAAGGATGCTTGTGTTTTAAGAATGTTGTTTTGATGGGGTGTTTTTGTTTTGTTTTATTCAAAATTATAACAAGACATATTATTCAAAAACATATCATCCTTGTCCCCCCCCCCATTTTTCCTCCCTCCCCCCCTCCCACACAAAACCCACCCACCCCCCAACTTCCCTCAGTTCCAGTCTTTGGTTTCTCTAAGAATGCTGTTTTCTGCATGTTACAACGTTATATAGATCCTCAAACTATTTACCTGATTATTATCAATAAAAAGTTTGTGAATGTTTATTCAAAATCTGCCAAGGAGTCCAGTTCGCTTTGTTGCATCTTCAGATACTTTGTAAAGGGTTCCCATTCATCCTTAAAGTCACAGTTATCCTTGTCCCGTAGTTTATATGTCAGTTTTGCCAGTTCTGCATAGTCCATCAATTTTTCTTGCCATGATTCTTTAGTTGGGGTTTCTTCAGTCTTCCATCCTTGTGCTACCAGAACTCTCGCGGCCGTTGTCGCATACATGAAGATGTTTTTCAACTTTTTTGGCAAGAATGTTGTTTTGATGTTTTATCACTCTTTCTGTGAATCCTTGTTCTGATGCTCCTCATGGCAGACCTTTTAATTGGTGGTTCATCCTCAACAACCATGTTAAGCTGAGCTCTGCCCTATTGCAAGATCTACCGTAAACACTGGGTCCCTCTTGGATACTGGGCTTGAATTAATTTCCTTGGTTCCATGTTTAATCTTAAAGGTGGTCGCTTGCCTGGCTAAGGAAGAA